AGTACTTTTTGTTTTAAATTTTGACTTTATTTCTTATATTAAAACCATGAGGGATTTCCCCTCATGGTTTTAATATAAGAGGGATAACATGGGGAGAAATGCCAGATATAGGGGATGGGGATTGAGGCAGCAAACCACATTGCCATGTGTGTACCTGTGCAACAATCTTGCATGTTCTTCACATGTACCCCCAAACCTAAAATGCAATAAAATATATATTAAAATAAATAAATAAATAAATTTCTTTGCTACTTAACTTGGTCTTTGTAAACAGCATTGGTTATATATTCCTTATGAAAACTATAAAAGGAGATTTCCTGTTGAAAAAAATAATGGTGTTATGTGTAAATAAATCAGTTTGCATGAGGCTAGTCAAAGCTTTATCCATATGATGTATCTTGGAATAGTGTTAGAGAATTGAATTTCTGCAAATGCCACTCTGCTTCCCTTTGATAAACACCTCCATCAGATCCTCATACCCACTTTGGTTCTAAGTTTAAACTATTGATTTCATGTTTGTTAAGTTACTGGAAACCTAGGATATTTTTGCTGTCTTATCTGACCCTGTTGGCATGACTGTGACCTAGTGTTGTCACATCATCACATCTGAAATATGTCTTATCAGTCTGGTATACCGCATATAATTTACGTGGTATCCATTACCAATCCTGAGCCTAAAAAATGAAGCCAAGCCTTGTGTTTCACAGGAAATAATAAATTCTAAATGAATTCAGAAGATTTCAGTTCCAAAAATAATACATATAGTGGAAGGGATTTTATAGAAGCTCTATAAAACAAATTGAAGTGAGGGATCGATTTTTCACAGGTGGTTTTAAATAAGCATAGCTGTTTAAAATTGTATATATGGAAAGCTGGGAAGATTCAAAAGTCGATAAAGCCAAAAAAAAAAAAAAAGAAAAAAAAAACAACGGGTTGTACATAGAAAAATTTTCTAAAGCTTGAGACAGATATAGGTATCATATTCTGCATATACAAATATATTTTCACTGCTGTCCTAGATTAGTGGCTCTCAACACTGTCTGCACAGTTGAATCATTTGGGGAGCTTTTAAAAATAATACTGATGGCTGGCTCCATTTCCAGTAGATTTTGATTTGATTGGTCTGTGGTACAAGGGACTGAGATACCAGTATTGTTGACCTCTCTGCAAGTGAATCTATTTGAAGTCAGAAGTGAAAGTCACTCCCCTAGAGCTTTGTCAACTTTGAAATTGCCTTATTAGAGCCATTACAGAATCCTGTTCACCATCAGAAATCCATATAATACAGTGAATAAAAATATAAGCATTTATGTTTGTATTATACATAAATACCATATTATATAATATTTTACACAGTCCTTCTTTTCCTTGTAATGAACACAAACTAATTGACAAAAAAAAAAACAAAAAAAACCTTGATATTTAGCTCTGTGGGACAAGGAAGCACAAAAATGATGAATGTTTTCAATTTACCTTCCTGTATATTTAGTCTTCATTCAATAAATTATTATTAAGTACAGCTGTATGCCAGGCACTAGTGTTATTGCTCTTGTAGAGCAGTAAATAAAAGAGACAAAATTCCTTGCTTTCATGGAGCTTACATTCTAGTTGTGAAAGACTTAAAATTCATTTGTCTTTTAATATTATTTAGAGGCATTTTCTTTGTTTTCTTGGGGGTTACCTACTGATTTTTCATTCTCTGTAATGATAGAAAATTCCTTTTAAAATAAAAATTTAAATATTGCAATAGAGTCTTTAAAATATGTAAAATAATTAATAATCCAGGAAATATCTTGATATGTCAAAATTATGAAAATGTTACATAAATGATTTATAAAAGCAAATTCTTTAGAGCCATTTAAATTGTTTTCATTTGGTATATGTTTCATTTATATTTTATGTAACAACATTAGCTACCATTCAAGTACAATCAGATATGTCCTGAATCTTATTCTGAAACTCATCAGCCTATACAGAACCACAGAGGGCTGGAAGACAGATAAAGGCAAAAGAAGCCAATAGAGAATAAGCAATTAAAAGACGCTTCTGTATGGAGATGGAAGTGATAAAAACTGTCCTTGAGAATATGGAGCAGTGGAACACAAGCCTTATTGTTCAATTGAGAGAATAGGCATATAATGATCTTTACTATTAGTTAGTATTATGCTTGAAAACATTAGCATTCAGCTTAAGTTGCATGTGTTAATTTTATTATATGTGTTTGCACATGACCGAATAAAACCTGTAGGAAAGGTGACATCTGTATGCATACAATCTTCTGGTCTTGATTGTTTGAGAATTCGGACCTAAGAGGAGATCTGGATCATTCAAAAGCAATTAATATTAAAATTGACCTTAATAAATGCAAATTATAAAATAAATCATAGTTTACCATTTTATTCTACTAAGCAATAACACCATGATTTAAATGGCATAGTTTGCTAGTAGTGAGCTGTTAGAACAATTTCTTTTGATATCTAGTGACCCGTTAAAATGTATCTGGAGGTTTAACAAAATACAAAGGTGACTCTGAAATATTGCAATGAATATGATCCAAATTAATGTAAGAACAATCAGGATTTAGGATTTTATTGTTTCTGTATTTGGTACTCTGAGAACCATCTTTAAACTCATTGACTTTTACCTACACACACATAAAGATTGAATTTTCTATTATTGTAGAAAAGTGAATCAGTTGTGATAAGGTCATTGTTGATTTGAAGCAATGTAATTTCTTGAGTTTACTAACAGTGAATCTCTCAGGAAGGTTTTCTTGTCTGTTTCCAAGTCTAGTAAATATTTTAAACTCACAAGATAATATTCTTTTGTAGGGATGTAGATAATATCTATTATTAGGTAAGATGTTCTTTTTGTGCATTTTTGTTTACTACATTTCCATTCATACTAACTCAACATATTTTTACAGTTATTTTAGGAGAAATAGAAGTTATTTCAGAGATCTTCTTTTATCATTTCTTACAGATTATTCTGTTTTATTTCTTTCAGATTATTCTTTAACTTTATAAATACCTTCATCAATTTTCTAATGACTCTAAAATAATAATCAACTTTCTCAAAATTTTCTTTTCTTGGAAAAAATGATATCAAAGTCTGGAAATTTATGATAATTTGCTATTTAAAAACTGAATAAAATATACTGATTGACTATAATATTAGTCAATTTTGGAATGACTGTTAAATATATCAAATCTAGTCATCTGTGCATCTAAGTATCACATTACAGAGAAATATATTTTTAAGCACAGAACCGTGTGAATAACAGTTTTTTTTTTTTTTTTTTTTAACGTGGAAATGTAGAGAAGCAGTACATTAACCATTGTGTTTTATTTTGTTGACTAGAAAGTGTTGGATCTCTGGGGCCTGTACCTTGCCTTCTGCTTTCTCTCTGGTAGAGAGGACTAAGAACAGAGCGTATCAAGAACATGGGGGAGCTTTACAAAATGAAAACGTCTGTGTTCCCTATCTACAGAAAATCAGTGACTGTGGTCATTAAGGGTGGAGTTTAAACAAATTTAAACTGGAGAAAATAAATACTGTCTTGCCTTTCTTGGTGAGAATTCCTGCGAAGCGGAATAGTAAGAGCTGGAAAAAAGAAACAATAAGTAAATGAAGAGAATTTCAGAGAAAGGGTTATAAAGATTCAAATGGGGAAAACAAGGATTTAAGATTGGAAGCATCTGAAAGATAATATTCATTCATTCCTTCACCATTTCCCTTCTGGTTATGGGCCAGGAAGGGTATTTGACGCTGGGAACACAAGGGTGAGCAAAACCAGATTGAGTATCTATTTTCATGGAGCTTCTCTTCTAGCGAATGAGACATTCTTTAGCCAAATATATAACAAGTATCAAATTGTAATTAAAACAAATATTATCAAAAGAAGTTATACATGATATGAGAAACTAAGACAGGAATAGCCCAAGTCATGGAGATGATCACCTTCTTAGAGGACGTGGCTCACGTAGCCTTTGTGGAGAAAACAGTTCCGTTAAAAGTATCTCTGTAGGTAAGAATTAGTATATAGAAAATATGTAAGTCATTGCTATTAAGAGGTAAGAAAAATGAGGAATTTAAAAAACAATATGTATAATATCTTCCCAGGATTGTGAAAACACAGTACCACAAAATAAGTGGCTTAAAACACAGATATTGAATCTATCACAGTTCTTCAGGATATTAAGTCTGAAATCAAGGTGTCCACAGGTCCATGCTCTTAGAAGACTCTAGGGAAGCTTCCATGCCTTTCTTTTCACTTCCAGTGTTACCTGCAATCTTTGGCATTCCTTAGCTTGTAGAGAAATCACTTCAGTCTCTGGGATCAATCATCACATTGTCATTCTCTCTGTGTGCCTGTGTCCCAAATTCTCTCTTCTTAGAGGGTGTCAAACGTTTTAGATTAAGGGCCTACCCTGCTGCACTATGACTTCATCTTCCCTTGCATACATCTGCGAAGACCCTGTTTCCAAATCCGGTCACATTCACAGCTTCTGGATGGACATGAATTTCCAGATGTACTGGGGGAAGGCGACACTATTTAACTCAATACAATGTGAAACAGAAAGTGGCTAAAATAGCAGGTCAGTATCCTGTTTGTCACCTGGGTGTCATTATAATTGAACATAATATTTAGTGTGATGTTTATAAAGACTTGGTTCCAATCATGTATGGATTAATAAAGGGTGGCAGAGGGATGTGAGGGTTCTCAGAGAAAGAGGGAAAAAAATGTCCTGTGCATAAAACCAGAAGCCACAGTTCACTTACTATTCATGTCTCCATGGTATTGCAAATCCTTAAACATTCTTAACACTTTAAATATAGCAACCAAAAAACCAAATATATAACTTATTTTTAGTGCACAGTCATGTTTAATTTTTTGGCATTTGTCACATTTTGCCCACCACTTAAATTTCTGAATTTTATTCGCATTGTATGTCCTGTCCCTTCAACAACTCTTTTATTCTTTTGTGAGTCAACAAAAGAGAATATAATAAAATTCAAATGACACAGAGCAATAGGTAAGAGTATAGCAAAAATGAGTGGTAATAGAGACAAGTTCACTAGAATTTCTTCTATAAATGAATGGGAAAAAACCACAAGATGAGGATCTGATGATATAATATGACAGGATCTGCATGACAATCACCCAACTATTTTATAATGAATGCAGAAGAATATAATATGAATTTCCTTAACCAGACTGTGATTTCACTAATCTTAGTCAATTTCAGCTTAGACATTCTCAAATTTTTAATTTAGAGATATTGTTTTTAATATACTTTTCAAAGAATTAGATTTGCAATTTATCTTGTTTACAACATATTTGTCTTATTATCTGCTTAAGTTGGCCAACGCGTCTCTTCATAGTTTCTTTGTAAAGTCATCACTTGACAATGGTAAGCACTACGTAAAAGTTGTTTTTTGTAGTAACCTCATCAGAAATGGAAAGATCATAGTGAATGGTGATTCTTTGCCTATTAGTGCTTCAGGGTTCAGAAGGCCATGTTCACCCTATCTTATCCTATTTAGAGATTGTAAAAAGGTAAAAGAGATAAAAAAAAAAAACTAGAAAAATAATGGCAAAAAAGATGAGAAAACATGATACCTGAGACGACATAATTTTGTTTTTAGTTAATATTTCCCAGATGAGTTTAGATTATTTTATACAATGTAGACTAATCTACACAGCTATACCAATGGGTCAAAATGTAAAAACATCAAGTAGGTTATTATTTCTTTCTCCAATGCTGTAATCGAAATAATTTCCATAATATCACAAACATATTCATTTGTTTAATTAGTTTAAAAATTTTGAAACTTATAGCCAAAAATCAAGCTGATAGCTTTCAAGAATTTAGCCTTTTTCTCTGTAAACAGGAAAACTTCTGCCAACCATTTCTCCTATTGAACAAGCACATCATTCACTTAGGGAAAGTGGTTGGGTGTGCTTTTCTGTTCTTTTGTGTTGATGAATTGCAGGCTTTTCAGACCACATACTTTCATCACATAATTTTCTGACCTCAATTATGCTTCTCAGAATACAACAGGTAATGAGTAATGGAATTGTTCATAGTGCTTTTAAAGTTGCTTTTAAATAATGAGATAAAAATATAGAATTTTCTACCAGAATATCTTGCATTCAGCAACGTTCAGTATTAACGGGAATTTCTTAAATCTATGCCTTAAATCTTAACCTTTGAATTACTTTTACGCCATTCCTGGAAAAAAAAAAAACAAAACCGCAGACAGTGAAATTATAGAAATTCAGTGATTTATTTCAAAAACTAATAACACACTCCCCCTGGATTAAGTAATCCAGACAAGAGATACTGATATATGATTATTAGTAATGTGTTAAAAATATTGAACTGAAGACAGTTCTACTTACTGTGTCCAAGGATAAGGAGAGGCAGGAAAACTGGGAAGGAAGAGGAACACAGATAATGGAGTTGTTCATCATACCATAGTGCATAGCAAAGAATTTTATTTGAATTATAGTCTACTTAATTTTAATAAAGCTGGATGTTATAGATTAAAGAAAGATTTGCCAACAGACTTATGATGTATACAAATACAGCATGGCAGATCTTTCATTAATCTACTAGTTCAATTTACCTATAATTCCATTATTTTTCCAAAAATGTACTGAATTAAGGTCAGGTCACATTGAGTGCTTTCAGAGTTGCCTGCCTGAGCCCTGCTGCTTCCACTCCTTGAGGTGTATGCCTACCAAATACCCACCTTACTGAAAACCAGCGGAGCATTGATAATTCTTTTTAAGAGTTTTGGGGGTACAAGTGGTTTTTGGTTACATGATTAAGTTCTTTTGTGGTGGCTTTTGAGATTTTAGTGCACCAGTTATCCAAGAAGTGCACACTGTACCCATGTAGTCTGTATCCCTCAATCCTCTCCCAACATTTCCCCCAAAGTCCCCAAAGTTTATTATATTATTCATGTGCCTTTGTGTCCTCATAGCTTAGCTTCCACTTATAAGTGAGAATATACAATATTTGGTTTTCCATCCTGAGTTACTTAGAAAAATGGCCTCCAGCTCCATCAAGTTGCTGAAAAGACCCATTTTGCTCCTTTTTATGGCTGAGTAGTATTCCATGGTGTGTGTGTGTGTGTGTGTGTGTGTGTGTGTGTGTACCTCTTTAATATCCACTCGTTGGCCCATGGGCACTTAGGTTGGTTTCATAACTTTGCAATTGCGAACTGTGCTGCTATAAACATGAGTGCATGCGTCTTTTTCATATGACTGTTTTTCCTTTGGGTAGATACCCGGTGGTGGGATTGCTGGATTGATAGTTCTACTTTTACTTCTTTAAGGACTCTCCATACTGTTTTCCATAGTGGTACTAATTTACATTCCCACTAGCAGTGTAAAAGTGTTCCCTTTCATTGCATCCATGTCAACAGCTATTATTTTTTGGCTTTTTCATTATGAGCCTTCATTATTAAGAGAGTTATTTCCAAGGTCTTTTTTATTTACTGGTTTTGATTTGTGCCATCAAGCAGTAATGGCAGACAGGTAAAGACTGCAAAACCTTAAAGAAGAAAACAAAAGGATATAAAAACAGTAAAAAGAGAAAATGCCAAATTGTGAAGAAGGGTAAAAGACAAGAGAGGGACTGGGCATGGTGACTCACGCCTGTAATCCCAGCACTTTGGCAGGCTGAGGTGGGTGGATCACCTGAAGTCAGGAGTTCAAGACCAACCTGGCCAACATGGTGAAACCTCATCTCTACTAAAAATACAAAATTAGCTGGGCATGGTGGTGGGTGCCTATAATCCCAGTTACTAGGGAGGCTGAGGCAGGAGAATCATTCGAACCCAGGTAAGTAGAGGTTGCAGTGAGCCAAGATCACGCCACTTCACTCCAGCCTGGGTGAAAGATCAAAACTCTGTTTCAGAAAAACAAAAGAAAACCAGGGAGGAAGATATAAATAGAAATCAAAAAAGAAATAAAATAGTAAAACAAAAAAGATGGCTAAGGTTGGTAACGATAACAGGGACAGTGTATTTAATCGTTTTCTTAGATAAGGATTTCCATCATGTTTGTAAAAAATATCTTGTATCATTAAAGTCCTACTCAGTGAGAATGGCATTATCCTGGCACTCCTTTTATTTTTGTTTCTAATCTTCTACAAAGGTGAATGGGTATCTGAATATTGTTAATCACTTAATTTGTTTTCTATATTAATAACAGCTAACATTTATATAGTACTACCTCTATGTCAAGCATTATGCTTTGTGCAATATATATGAATTCATTCAATCCTCACAACAATCTACGAGGATGCTCTATTATAATCTCCTTTTACATTTGGGGAAACTGAGGCAGCCAAACATTTGGGACCTATTCATTGGAAACTCATATCCCAATCCTATCAAACACATACAGGTACCTGGTTTTATTGTAAGCCTCAAATTGCGGAGAACACATTATTTTGGATTTTATTTATCTTCTGGGACAAACACTTCTTAAACTCAGGTTCAAAAGAGAAAAGACTCCCTCAAGGGTCTGCAGTAGATAGACTAATAGAAAATAAATCCTAGGGCTTAATTTAGGTTTCCTGATCTGCTGTTCATTGCCCTTCATCACTAAATTTAGGGGCAGGTCAATAGAACCTTAATCAAAGCCTTGATGCATTTTCAGTTAATAGTCAAATTCACATAACCATTGCACATTTTCAGCTTTCAAATTTTCACATGAACCCTGGAAGCCTGTTGAGTCAGATTCTTTTACAGAACCTGAAAGTGAGCCGTTGTTTCAGCACATAGGAAACTCATCATTGGCCAGAATTTTTCCCATGTCTGAGAGAGCACAAATCTTTATTTTTAAGAATCATTTGCTCCATTCCAGGAAAAACCTATATTTTAATCTATTTGAATATGTAGGTCATGGCTAAAACCCGGTTTATAGTAGTATCATTAAATTATATCTGCTCATGTTAGCAGTAGTGAAGAATAATCATCTATTAGAATAATTAAAACTATCAACCTTAAAAATACTGAACTTACATCAGAAAATTTCATATCTGTAGCATTATCCTGCCTGAGAAATATAAAGACCTTATGATGACTGTGAAAGACTAAAACAGGCGATTAAAATTTTAAAAATAGGGCTGGGCATGGTGGCTCACCCCTGTAATCCCAGCACTTTGGGAGGCTGAGGCGGGCGGATCACGAAGTCCAGAGTTTGAGACCATCTTGGCTAACACGGTGAAAACCCATCTCTACTACAAATACAAAAAAGTGGACGGGCGTGGTGGCACATGCCTGTAATCCCAGCTACTGGGGAGGCTGAGGCAGGAGGATCATTTGAACCTGGGATACGGAGGTTGCAGTGAGCCGAGATTGCGCCACTGCGCTCCAGCTTGGGCGACAGAGAGACTCTGTCTCAAAAAAAAAAAAAGAAATTAAAATGTAAACTCAATTGTTATTGATACATTTACTAGTAGTTTTCCAGTATTTAGCGGGCACTGTTAATATTTCTTTACTTAGAAGTGGAACAAAACAACATTGTTAATGATGCATCTACTCTATTTTGTATCTAGGAATTTAATGTAAATGTAAAATGTTTTTCCCAGTCCATTGGTCTGGCATAAAAGTTTTCCAAAATTAAGTTTACTTTCTTAAAATTTAAAAGCAGGCTAATGGTAGTAGATAATAGGGTAAAAATTATGTGTTGAAAAGGTGAATATTTTTCAATTTCTTCTATAAATATTTATTTTTAGAATTGTCTTTCTGTAATGTAAAAGCTTTTCTTAATAAATCTTGGCCTTGACATTTATTTGAACTGTATTAGATTTTGTGTATTCCAATTTACTGAAGAAAGCATATTTCTTACAGTGCTTTTTATAAATGCATCGGTTATTATAGACTAACCCCTTAATTAGTGCCACTATCCATATTATTCTCGATATTAAAACAGTATGGTAGCTTTATCAAAATAGCAAAGAATTTAATTGAGGATAAGATTTATTTGTGGAATACTAAATACAGTTGAAAGCCCTGAATTACACCTGACAAGTACTTAGAGTAGCATTGGCTAATTAGCTACTGAAAGTGCATATGTAATGTTAACTAAGACTGCTCAAACTTTGGACACAGACATTTATCAATATTAAAGTTATTAAACTGTTTATATGTATTTATAAACATATAGTTTGGCTTTGTGGGCTTTATTAGGTTTTGCAAGCAGATACAAAAATACTTTCTCACTCCAAATGGAGACCTTCTTGTTTTAGACTTAATTATCTTTTCTTGGTGTCAGATAGGTACATTTGAAAAAAATAATGGTAAGTTAGATTTTAACTAGGAAATCAGCTTTCACCAGAAGGATCTAGTACCTATTAAAATAAATGTAAATTACTTATCCAGTTCACTGATCTGCCTGAAAACATAAAATATGTATAAACTTCAGCTAGTAGCTCAGTTCAATTTAACATTCATTTATTGACCGTCTTTTGTGAACCAGGTTCTTTGTTAGGCTCTGGAGACAAAAAGATAAATAAGATGTGATTCTAGTCCTTGAGGAGCATTCAGTT